AAAAATCAAAGGTGGTAATGAACTGGGCTGGTTCCCCGAGACTCCAGCTGACATTGTTTACCTGCGAAATGGCCTTTCATCACGAGAAAATATCGTGTTGGTGGTTTAGAAACGAACGTTTCCTTGATGAAACGACTCACGTCAAGGGTCATTTCATTCAATCATGAATTATTTCACGTCAGAAATAGATTATTCAGTGATTTTCATGCCACCACAAATGGCGATATCCTAAAATGCCTTAGTGACCGGGGTGCTCTAACCTGGCCTATAGCGGAGCGGCGAGGAATGAACTAGCGATGGCTCGGGCGTTCCTTGTCGCACTCCCGCACTGCCTGTGGCTGCGGCTGCCAGACTGGTGCGATAGGTAGATAACAAAATCGTGGTTCACGCAATGAATGTGGGCCACAGCGCCCGTCTGCACCGGCTGGCGGTGCGGAGCACCGTGATGCCGTGCGGGCATTCTTGCCAGTGGCAGCGCTTTTTTGCGTGTTCCACCTTGCACTCGTTGTGCCCTTTTCTTACAAATTGCTGCATAATACTTTGGAGTACTATGCAGCATGATTGAATAACAAATGCAATCACTACGAGATAGTTATATTTGCACGAGCAGTGATTTTTTCATTAAAGTGGCTTGCTCCCCTGGACACATGCTTGTTGTTTTGCAGCGAAGGTTACATCGCGCATGGTTGGTCAAGTGAACGAATTATCGGTTCACTTGTTTTTATGATGCTCACGTACGTGTAAAATTATTTATCAACTTTTGAGTTGCAAAGATGCCCTATGGGCTCAATATAGCGAATGGCCGTAGTGTGTTTCGAACGCTGTACATGAAACGTGTTCGTAGTTCTCTGGCTTTTTTTACCCCTATAAATATCTAACGGGACGACACCTTTTTAAATGAGGTGTCGTCCCTCACACGCTCGAACAATGTCTTCCAATGCACGCAGAATTATCCGCACCCAGCGTGCAGTTGTGCAAAATAGCCTTCAAAGCTATGAGTCGTAGTATAACATGACATATCGGCACTTCGCGCTTCAAAGTCTGACATAACGGAGATGCCATACCATGGTACTCGTTGCTTCAAAAGCGACTTCGATCGTTCCTCGTCGCATGATACTATATTTTCAGTACCCATTTAGTTCTGTGGTCTTTTAAGCACTCACCTGTTTCAATTCATTCGATAGACAGTTGGGTGTGTATAATATACAATATAAATATACTAAATTCGCATACTTTATCGCGCAAAATACGCGTACATACGTAGACTTCGTACCTATATTGACATATGACACCATGTGAACATGTATGTGTAAGGGATTTTGAAGTGTTCTCGGCAAGTGTATGCGCTCGAAAACCTTAAATCTAGGTTATTCGCCAAAAGATTACTGTGTTTTTCAATGCATAACTGCACGCTGTGCTCGAAACCCATCTCTCAACGTTCCTCGTTTTTGTCCATGTCCAGGTCTCACTTCGTTCCCTGAAATGCGTGAAATACCACATGTCTATTCACACACACAAAAAAAGAATTGAAGAACACAATCATTGATCAAGTGGCAGCAGACGTGTCACAGAATTGCTGGTGTTTCTACCTCGATCACACTTAGCAGCAGGCAGGTTGAAGCAGCGAAAGGATAGGCCTCGAACCGAAAGTACCGTAGCAGATGACGTGCCGTTTAGCTATGCACCTATTGCCGCACGGCTACTTAAAGCGTGTTGGATACCCGCACGGCCTGGGAATCACCGCTGTATGCTCTTAAGGTGCGTTCACACTTGGCCTCTAAGACAGCGAAACCGGCGATCTCTCCAGAAACTGGCTAGTTTCGCAGCCTAAGCGGCAGAAAAACCAGGACCACGCGGCCGGCGCACAAAATGTGGTCCGAGCGTGATTTTCCCGCCAAGAAAAACCGGATCCAGTTTCCGCTTCACAGCCTTGGCAGCGCTAGATCAAACCACGTAACCTAACCAGCCGGCCGCAGATTCAACATGGCGGCACAGGAATTGACGGTAGCTGGCATCGGCTCAAATTGAAAACTACCCGTGAAACACGACGAAGCTTAACGGTCTCAACGAGGACGTGCTCATCAGAAGCCTGACTTGGATTACGATCACCAAGAACTCTGGAAGTAAATGGTGCAGCGGCAGCGAGTCGACATGCCCCAACGTGTCTCGCGTTTGTAAACAGCCAGCTGAATGCACCGCCTGCACTGCCGCGTTCGCTCGTGTCGTTTCTGCTGGCTTATCTTCCACAACAACGTTTGAAAAAATGTAAGCTGCTTGTTTTCACTATTTCGCGGGAATAACTAGAATTCGGTACCAACTTTAGTTCTCAGAAAGCAGGCAAAATTATATATTGTCAAGGTATCGACGGCTGCAACGGCGGGATGGGGCAGAACTAATGTGAACATCTTCGGCGCATGCTGCCGGGCTTTTCCGGCCGCTCTGGCGTTTTCGTTTTTTTTTTTTCAACTCTCAAGTGTGAACGCGGCCTTAGAATCTGTTGTACGTCTGTCAAATGTGGCTTTTTGCGCAAATAGCCGTACAGCAAATCGCATCCGGATTGGCGCCATGTGTCCAGCACTTCACACCGGTTTCTGTATAAGATAGGAAATCCGCGTTATTTCTGGATGATTCAGATTTCCACATGGTTCGGATATCTTCGTGATTTTCGCATATACGGCTTTCCGTTAGATGAGTACTGCCACGGGATTTTCGCATGATATCGCTTTCCATATTACAATAAATCAATATTTGCAGACTCCGTCTATACTGAGCTTTTAAGTAGAGGTACGCACTAACCGTAACGCAGGCATCACGCACTACACAATTGATAGCAACAAGACGCAAAAAAGAAACTATCTACTAGAAGTCAGAGACAAAATAATTCAAGTTCTAAGGTTACAGTGATTCTGTATGTGCGCGCCATTTTCCACATAATTCAAAAGGTGGCGGTAAGTACAAAATACATCATTGGCGTTAACAGCGGAGAACAAAATAGGAGGCTTGTGTTCCAAGGTAAAAACGGTGTTTTAAAGCGATGAAGGAGCTAAACGATTGATTGATATGCGAAGCTTAACATCCCAAAACCACTATACGAATATGAGAGACGCCGTAGTGGAGGGTTGCAGAAATTTTGACCACCCGGGGTTCTTTACCTGCTTCCTTGTGCTACAAAAAAAAATCGATAACAGACCTATCACATGTGGCTATGCGAAAAGCCACATGTAGGCATGGCCACACGTTCATTAGGAGATTGCGCAAAACGAGACTGAGGGAAGACTTGCCTCGCCTGAACGGTCACCCGAGCACGCATTTAGACACGCGTTGTCAGGAATGTGTTTATGCACCTCCGCTAGCAGCGCTAGGATTTTGTTCATACACCAAAGTCTAACTGCAAGACAAACTGTTGAAGCACAGTCATTTGAAATACGAAAACAAAACTGCATCAGCCATCTTTTCATGTTGGTTGAAAAGATTTCTCTCTTTTATTCAAAAGTTTATTTACGTTTGCTTCTAACTTCTTTGCTAGATATGCATAATGCATTCTTATCACATTTGAATGTGACATGCGCGAGTTTGTGTTCTTTAAAGAGATTTAGCAGATGAAGGTAATTGCCTTAGCAGGTGTACTTTCAGAAATAAAGCAGTTGTTAAATTGTGTGTGCCTTTCCTTCGTCATTGATTGCTTGAATCATAGTGCCTAAAACATAAATCTTATACTGGTGTCACACGGGCACTTGAAATCACGATTGGCACAAAGCGAGAATAACCAAGAACAGGATTAGGTAATGTTACACAGCCACAGTTAATCGCGATTAGAGTCGATTGAGATAAAGACTATTGCGATCCGCGCATCGTGATCTGGTTGACATCTTAAAATTTTGCTGTCATCTTCACCTCCTGGCCGAGGTTGTTGACAGCACAATGAAGAAGAAAATGGAGCATATATGTATTTTATAAAAATAGTACAAAGCTATTTTTTTTCAAAAATTAAGATTTTAACTGTTTAAATTAGAACAAGATCTGAAATTTTACAAATTTTTCCTTTTGTGATAACGCCATTAATTTTATGAGAGAAGTTGCCGATTAGCAGGCGACCATTGTCATCAAAGCTTGCTTCAACTGTCACACCGTCGGAATAGTTGGAGCACCTCAAAGCAAATTGATTATGAGTGTCGCCAGCTTGTCGACTACGTCGCAGTTCATGCGCACTTCCTGGTCGAATGACGGAAATGAAGGGACCTTCACATTAGTTTAACGCTGGCAGGAGCGACTGTGGCACTTGTAGTGCCAGCGTGGAAGCTCTGGCATGCACGAGGAGATGGCCGCTTCACTTCGACCTAATGGCTATGAGCGTGTGCCATTAGAAATAAAAGTGATTATGAAGAATCTCGCACCGAATTGCAAGTAAGTGAAAGGAAAACTCCATCGAATGATGGATTTATGAAATTACTTTTGTAGTGGCACGCTATGTTTTACGTTTGTATGGTGCTTGCATGAATAACATTACTGATAAGAGGCTCTACAGAAATATCATACCCTTTGTTTTGCTACTGTTATATAAATGCCTAATAATATTTGTCAGTGGCACGAATGAGGGCACGTTAGCGCTATGTCGTACATTTTATCTGACTGAAGCTCGAACCAAATTTGTTTGAGCCATGTAGTAGCGGCCACAAAGTCGATCGCGTTCAATAAAGCCGATCCTGATGGCCCTGATCGCGATCAAAAGTGCCCGTGTGACACTGAAACTACAAGCGTTGTTCAGTGAAAAAGGAATTATACACTAATCATTGATTGATGGAAAAATTTCAAAAAATATCAAATGGCTCAGAAATAAAGTTATATTAACTAATCAAAGCAGCTCACATTTTAAACAGGCCGGCAATAATAATGATACAATACTTTATTCTGCCCAGTCCAACGTTGCTAATGGGTATATATTATATACACATTTAGTACGCTCTACATAAACATAAAAAACAAGAGAAGAAGAACCTCACGTCGCTAGACAACAGCTTGTCCCACTGCGGGTACAGGTAATACTTGATGCCATCCAGCGATCCGTCAAGGGTGACGCCGCGAAGCAGTAGGATGAGCAGCACAGCGTACGGCATAGTGGCCGTTACCCACACCGCCTGCAAGCATGGAGGGAGATCACTCGGGTAGTAAAGATTATAAAAATTGCATGTCTGGCACATTGCTCATTTGAAACTGGCCAGCGATTCGCACGAAAGTACAAGTGTCTTTTTAATAATCAAAAATGCCCGTTGTGGCACAACTACCTTTACAACTACAATTTGTTGAGGAACGTGTGAGAAGTATACGAATACAAATGCACCCTATACAGAGGACAGCTGGCGCTCTAGAGCAGAACGTTTGCCAAACCATGCACCTGTTCATCGACAAGCCTTCACTATATATAGTTAGTGTAGAATTTATCTAAGTTAGATATGGACACAATATGACTTAAATAACTACAAAAGCACTGCCCATGGGCATAGAAAAGTGGTAGTCAGGTGCCTGTCTGCACAATCTAGGTCCAGTGCTCCACAATATCACTGCTGAAAACAGAAAAAAAGTGTGTTGGTTGGTTACATCAACGGTAGGATAATGGATACAGAAAAAACAGTGGTAAAGCATGTAGGAATTGGTTTCTTCGTTTCAGGCTTCAGTCTCTATAATCTCTTCCCGTACTCAATTTTCACCCAGTTGAACTAATGCTTTTGTAGTGAATGTTTTATGTAATACGACACCAACTCTAAGCGCAGGAGTTACCGATGGGCTCATCACTGATAATATTTGCATTATTTTACCTTTCACAGCAAGTATACCACGTTATAACACCTGCCATTTCATCTCAGCCTTAAGTCAGATTAACTTTATCGTAGAAATTTATGGCATGGACAATGCTTCCACGTGCTAGCTGGAAATTCTTCGAAAAGCATTACACAAATTCAACTCCTTATTTTTTTTCACTGTACAAGTTTTCCCGTAATACCTAGTTAACTCATGGTTGGTGATCCAGAATGCCATATGTTATCGTTAGAGGAAACTCAAAACAGCCATTAGTATATGTTTGACATCGATCTCAAGGTATAAATTGAAAGGTTGGGAAGTTTTTTGAAAAAATGGGAACATTATTACGAAAGATACCTCTGTAAGGCAGTAAATACGCTTAAAAAGTGAAAGTTTTATTGACTATTTAAACAAACCTATTGTTATTATAAATATTTATGAAATTAACTCTTAACAGCAAATATGTCCTGGGCCTCCGTCGTAGCTGAGTCATTTAGGGATTATTTCTAAAAAATGCGGAATGATAAGCCCAAAGCTTCATCGCAAACCTTTATCTACTGTACCCGTTAATTTGTTCATTTGTTTCGTGTAACGACTAACCAGCTATTGTTTATTGCAAAACAAGCGCAAATTATATTGGAAAAAATGATATTTTTGCCTTAGCCATGAAACATAACAGAAGTGCACTTACAATAACGGCTACATGGCAAACATTATCATGATGCAGGTAATGTCGTGGATTCCACATATCTACACTCACTGCATGAAGCTAAATTGGTGGTGTACTAAAAGAAGGAGCAACGCGATGTTTATTTTAAATGATCCCCTTATCTCGCGTTCACGCTACTCCTTTAACGCCCCATAACCACACATTTATTAACGATTGGCGAAAAACCGCCATCTTTAGCGTTGTCAGCCAAGTGGCTACAAGTAGAGCCTTTCAGAGAGTAAGCATACTCCCTCGACCGATAATTTATGCATCGGCTTGTTTGGCCTATCGAACAGTGCACACAAGTTGAATTTGAAACGACCTCGCTGAACATATTCAGGACAGCACATGAGTTTTTCTTAGGCCATTAACTATTGGCCGAGTGGCACAGCCCAGCCACCTTTCCACGTGCGCAGGAAACAAATTCTACATTTATTTTGCCTGCTACCTTTTTAGACTATGCGAAACTTCATGTAATCTATTGCACAGTTAAGGGAACTATCGGAGCGCATGGCATCGCGATGCGGCCAGTGCTGCAGTTGAGCGTGGACGCATGCCGCTCGTGGACGCATGCGCAGAGGCTTGAGGAGCGGGATATTAAACTGCATTGTCTGCCACGGTGGTGTGCACTGGCCATATCATCGAGCAGCCTGTTGATTTCATCGTTTCTGCAGGTAATTGGCCGATATTTTACTAAGCGTTGTGGGATTCCTACCCATGAGCCTTCTTTGGTGGTAATGGTGTTCTAGAAACAGAGTTCGACAGCATACGGTGTTTGCTCTTTCGAAACGTCATGATGCTGAAATCGTTCTCGCTTATATATATATATATATATATATATATATATATATATATATATATATATATATATATATATATATATATATATATATATATATATATATATATATATATATATATATATATATATATATATACATATATATATATATATATATATATATATATATATATATATATATATATATATATATATATATATAGTCTAGTAGATCCTCCGTGAGCGGTCACAACGTGGTTTATTTCGACGTTTCGGCCTAGAGTCTGGCCTTCATCAGGAATAAAGATACAGTTTGTCGGTGCTCAGCTTTATACAATCTCAAATCAGAGGGCAAGGTAAGAGGAAAAAAAAAGAAAAGAAAAAAAAGAAAAGAAAAGAAAAGGAAAGAAAAAAAGAAAAAAAGATAAAAATAATATACGGTGAACGCCCCTCGGGTGCCCCCCTTCCACTTTTCCCTCCACTCCCCCCATCTCCCTCCCCCCTCTCCCCTTCACCTTTCTGATGTCAGCGGCCTGTGTATGTTTCCGTTCACTAGCGCATTACTCCTGATCAGATGGTCCCTCCTGGCACTGGCGGTTCGGTGTGGGGCAAAAAAGAGCTTTTCGGGAAGTCCTAAGCCTTTAACTGCTCGGGGTCCCGTAAACAATTCGTCGTAGAAGGACGGGGGCCGCGTATTGTGGCAGAGGCTGGTCAGTGGGCATTTTAGGAAGTTCTAAGCCTTTAACTACTCCGCGCCCTGTCAACATTTCGTCGTAAAAATAGGGGTGCCCCGTATTGCGGTAGGCTGTGCAAGCGCGTGCAATGCGAATTCCTGGCCCGCTTCTAAATTACGCGTGTCGTGGGGGCCTCCCGGCTGTGCACATGGTTGCTGTTGGGCATGTCGTGCATGGCACAATTGATTGGGTAGTAAAATAAAACAGAAAACAGACGACAGCTGCACTTAGGAAGAGTAGTTACACTTGGAATTGTTTTAGGTTGTCCAGTGCCCTTCGCAGCTGCAGTGCCGTGAACTCAGTTACTATTTTCATCGTTGCCGTTATTGTTTTCTAATGCTTTAATTGCTGCAAGTGTACCAGGATTCTCATTTATTCCTCTATCGAGGGTGTTAAATCGGTGGATAAGGTATGACTCTCGTTGTTCACGTTCTCGATTTGATTTAAATCCCGTCTCTAAGAGCGTTACTGATAGTTTGTCGAATGCATGGTCGGGAAGATTGAGATGTTTTGATAGAGGTAGACTTGGGGCTGATTTCGCATGGGCTCTGTGATTATTGAAGCGAATCCTAAATGGTGTTTCTGTTTGTCCGATGTACTGCATACCACACACGTTGCATTCGAGTAGGTACACCACATTAGAAGAATCGCATGTTAGGTTTCCTCGTATGTTAATCGAAAACTTGGATTGCGTGCTGGTTGCTTTGTCTGTTTCTCGCATCGCCTTACATACAAGACATCGTGGCTTTAAGCAAGGGCGGCATGAATTATTGGGGGGTGATGTGTTAATTTGGGAGTGGACAAGGGTGTCTTTGAGGTTACGTGGTCGTCGGTAAACGACGCCTGGAGCGGATGGGAATGCGCGTTTCAGACGTTCACTTTGTTCCAGAATGTTGTAATGTCGTTTAAGGATTTTGTTTACATTGGGGAAGTTTGTGCTGTAAGTCAAGCAGAGGTTTGTTCGTTGTGGGTCTTCTCGTGGTGGTCGCTTCATAAGTAAGTCTTCACGCTTTAGTTTTCTCGCTTTTTGAACAGCTTCATTAATTACATGTGGGGGGTATTTTTGTTGCTCGAGCATAAGTTTAGCCTCTGTGAGCTCGTGTCAAAGTCAGCGTCTCTAGAGCAGATTCGCTTAAACCGGTGAGCCTGGCTGTATGGAATACTGTTTTTACAGTGGCGTGGGTGATCGCTTTGGTAATGAAGGTATTGTTGTCGATCCGTTGGTTTGCGATATAGGGTTGTAGAGAGCTTCTCTTCTTCTATCGTTATGGTAACATCAAGAAAATTTACGGTAACTTGCGAGTATGTGTGTGTGAAGTGTATGTTCGGGTGTACAGCATTGTAAGTGTCTATAAAGCTGAGAAGTTCGTCCTCGCTGTGGGTCCAAATAAGAAAGATGTCGTCTATGTATCTTCTGTATAACATTGGTTTCAAGGAACTTTGTGCAAGAAATTCAGATTCTAGCTTTCCCATAAATATCGTACGATCGAACGAACAATTCGTGCACCGCTTCAACCGGGACGCTCGTCAATTCAACGAGACAGTCAAGGCCTACTGCCGGAGACCCAGCAAGGTGTCATACATCGACTACCAATTCGAGCAGTTGCCACCAAGACGCTTTCTTGCTGCGGATGGGCTTCATCCGAGTTTTATGGGCGTCGCTTTGATTGCCGAAACCCTCAAGAAAGCACTCGGTCGTGGAGATCTTGAATCTACAACGGGGTGGTCGACTCAACCAGCAGCTCCCGTGAATATACGTTCAACACAACAAGACACCCACGAGAAGACTTCTGCATATCAACATACACCAGGAGCCCCACACCCACCCAACACCACAGATGAGTTCCCGACGATCAACGAAACTGTGACTCCCGCGAGCCTCAAGCACCCCCTCACCATCATCAACAGCGCACCACTACTAGGGGGGAAGTCTGCAGAACAGCCAACACGCGTCCCTCCATTGCGGATGTCGAGACCAGAAGCACTACACGACAGCACCACTACACCACTCCTCAAAGGGAAGCCTGCCGAACCACGGAACCGCGTCCCCCTATTACGGACCCCGGAACTGCCAACGAACACGTTCGCCGGGAGCCCAACGCCGAAATTCTCCCC